AGCAGGAACTTCGCAGACGCTCAGGCAAGCAAGCAAGAAGAGGCAGGTTTGTTTAGAAGAAAATGTTTATTGAGGAGAAAAAGAGCAGAAATAAAGTGGGACTCCCAGGCCAGGGAACCAGGCCTGGGAGGGGCAAGGAAGCCAAAGTGGAGTCGTGTCTTAGGGAATATATACCTTTTTTCCCTCATTATTCTAAAGCTGCCCCAGTCTCTTTGTGATTGGTTAGTTCTCGGCTGTCTCACTTAATTTGCAACTGAGTGGGGGATCTTCACATTCCTTATCTAACAGCTTTCTCTTTCCCCATTTGTTGCATCTTTAAATTTATGGCCCAGTCTTCTGGATGGGCATCCCTGCATTGAAGTTAAACAGCTGCCCTTCTAATGTGACCATAAATTAAACCACTCTCCATTTCTCCAATCTCCGCCTCCCTTTACCACCTGAAGGAAACCAGGACCAGCGTTAACAACGTTGTCCTTGGTCCTGAGATGTTTGTTTTTCCTAGTGGAATGGGTTACTTTCCCTTGCTTGTCCTTATCTCTGAAGCCTCCCTAAATTTTTCAGAGGTCCCCTCCTGCACTATCCCTAAAACTGCCTAATAACCCTAGCTTGCCCTGTCTCATCCGGGTTGCTCTACAACACTGTGAGAGCCCGCCCCTCGGCCAGGCTGCTCCTCCAACCTGTAGCTCGTACGGGGGCAAGGCCATCTCATGGGCTTGGCCAGCTACGGGGCTTGGTGGCGCCTGCACCATGCCCCATGAGCGTTGATTTTTCCTTCCTTCCTTCTCCCTTAGTTTGAAAAACGAATGTAGCACATGGCGAAGAATTCACTTAACTGAAGGGAGGTCCAGCGCTGCTGTTGGACACAGGGAGGGCTATTGCTCCCCTCCAGAGGTCACGTCTGAGGAGAGTTTGGTTTGGACACCAGACTTGGACACCAGACGTCTCCTCAGTGTGACTTGTGATGAGGGCTGTGGGCCAGGCAGGGTCCTTTCTCCCTGCAGAGGGCTGGAGATTAAAGCTCTGCCCCATGGGCTGTGTGGCATCGCCCCCAATAGTATCTGGCCAGCAAGGCCCAGTGAGCCGCTTTGTGTGCGGCTGCATGGACTCCCAGAGCATGCCCCATGCTGGGAATTGCCAATTCTGGAACAACACTCTCTACCCCTCCTTCCCTAACTACAAATCCTGTGCTCTGGACCCCCACTTCTGCTCTCATTTCCTCTTCCTGCAAGCAGGGAGAGCCCCAAGGCCTGCCCCACTTCTGCATTTCCACAGCTGGGGAAAGACTTCCTGTTGTTGGTGTTGTTACTGTTAGGGGGAAAGCATGTCCTGAGCTAATCCCATACAGGCTTTGTGGACTCCACCCCCACTCCAGACTAAAGCCATCAAGACTCTGGGAAAGACAAATCCCATCACCACCAAGGGAGGGTGGCTGGGACCTGAGGGTGGAGTTGGGCAGCCAGGTTGGATATAAAAACCAAACACGTGGGCCTTGGGGTGGCTCGCCTTCGCTCGCCTCCCTGCTTCACGGCTCCCGGCTGGCGGCCAGCTCTCAGAGTGCCATTTGGGATTCCTGATCGGCGGATCGGGTAGGACTCATTTAAAACTTTGTCTCCCACTTTTCTCCCAGAGCTGTACATTTCCTCATTTCCCCTTCCCTTGTGAATAAACCTTTTATTAACCTTTCACGTGTGCCTGCAGTAGAGCATTGATAAGTCCTTTTAAGCGCGCGGGTGAGGACCCACAGTCAGGCACCCCATTTTGTATCGGGGTTGCTCTACAACATTACCAGCCTGTTCCAGGGAAGGGAATCTCTCAAATTGAGATGGGTCCACTCTCACAGTCCCATGGTCAACAGCCAACCCCCCTGCAGTGTTCTGAGGTCAGCAGCCCCGGGGAGAGAGATTTGACCAGGAAGCAGAGTGCTTGGCTCGTGAACGGTTCCCAGAGGTAAGTTCTTTGGGAATTTGATGGGGAAGAAAGAGGGTGTCTTCCCCACTGAGCTCCTTGTGTCTCTGATGATGGGAGAGCTGCAGCCTTTGAGTATTTAATGTAAGTGTGTGAGTGTGGGGTGGGATACAGGGTGTCATATAAGGAGAAAAGGACACAAACACTCGGAAGATCAGAAATGAGGTTTGCAAATTTCCTCTAACAAACAAGCCATCAGATGAAGGTAAATGAAGGTGGGTGGTGTGGACGCCTGCAGGAGGAGTCAAGGAGTCATCTTGTTACAGAGCAACCTCAATTATTAAACGTGTTGCTTGACTGTGGGTCCTCACCTGCGCGCTTGAAGGGGACTTACTAATGCTAAACTGCAGACATACACAAACAGTTGATCAAAGGTTTATTTACAAGGGAAGGGGAAATGAGGATATGTGCAACTCAGGGAGAAAAGAGGGAGATAAATTCTTAAGTGTGCCCTACCCATTCCACTGACCTGGAATCCCAATGGCACACTGAGAGCTGGCGAAGAGCCAAGAGCCATGAGGCCAAGAGAACACAACCCAAGGCCTATGTGTCTCGTTTTATACCACACCTGGCTGCTTAACCCCACCCTCAGGTCCCAGCAACCCTCCCTTTGGTGGTGATGGGATTTGTCATTCCCAAAGTCTTGAAGGCTTTGGTCTGGAGTGGGGGTGGAGTCCACAAAGCCTGTATGGAGTTTGCTCAGGACATCCTTTCCCCCTAACAATCTCACCGCGCTGTCCTATCTCAGTGCTGTGCTGTCCGGGGAGTGTCAGCCAGACCCAGGGGCCCCGGCAGCCCGGGTGAAGCACTCTATAGAGGTGGATGCCAGGGATTGTCACGGAGTTGTTGAAACACTCATCTCCTTCCCTAACACCATCCTCATGGCAGCCCTCTGGCTGTGTCTCCCCAAGATGACTGTGTCCTGGGGAGGTCTGGACAAGAGGGCTGCCACTGGCCTGTTGGATTCCAGTGCTCCCTTCCCCCTGTGTTCCTTTATCTTCCCTTCTTTTCCTCCATGTTCTTTCTTTCTTTCTTTCTTTCTTTCTTTCTTTCTTTCTTTCTTTCTTTCTTTCTTTCTTTCTTTCTTTCTTTCTTTCTTTCTTTCTTTCTGTCTGTCTGTCTTTCTTTCTGTCTTTCTTTCTTTCTTTCTTTCTTTCTTTCTTTCTTTCTTTCTTTCTTTCTTTCTTTCTTTCTTTCTTTCTTTCTTTCTTTCTTTCTTTCTTTCTTTCTTTCTTTCTTCTTCTTTCTTTCTTTCTTTCTTTCTTTCTTTCTTTCTTTCTTTCTTTCTTTCTTTCTTCATACAAGAGCTGGGATACAGGCCAGAGATGTGGGGATGAGAGGATGCACCAGAGACAGAGTGGGGAACAGAACAGGCAGAATGACCAGAATACACTGCTGAGGGGAGCAGCGGGCACATCAGGAGAGATCTGCTGCACCATGTGGGTGGCTCCCTGGCGGCCAGGGATCGAACTCATGGATCAAACTCATGCTGCAGAGGCTGCGGATTGCTTCATAGTGCTGTGCTTAATCCCTTGCACCACCCGGGAGGCCCTCTCCAAATACTTTGTTTGGCGTTTGTTAGTTAGTGTTGCTCATCTCCTCGCAAGTCCCATCCTAATTGTAACGAAACCTTTCCTGCTTTCCTGCTCACAGCTATCGCCCACGTCTACAGGTGGCCAGCACTTTGTTGGAGCCTCATAAATATTTTTTTGGGAGGAATGCTAACTTTATAAGTCAGTTCAGGGCCTCCCCGGTGGCGCAGCGGTTGAGCGCTGGGTTGCGAAGCTGCCTGCAGCCTCTGCGGCGCCGGTTCGATCCCCGGCTGCTCCCCGGCCACCAAAGGAGGGTCCCACATGGCGCGCAGACCTCTCCTGCCGCCCGCTGCTCCCCTCAGCAGTGTACTTCGGTCCTTCTGCCTGCTCTGCTCCCCGCTCTGGCTCTAGTGAATTCTCTCACCCTCCTGTGCTTCTGACTGTACCCAGTGCATGTATAAACGAAACAAACGAACAAACAAACAAATAAATAAATAAAACATGCCTCTATAAAAAAAAAAAAAGCGTTTCTCATTATAAGTCAGTTCACTTCAGCTCTGAATAAATGAGGTGGCGGCCTCAGTCTGATTAGCTCTGGGGCATTGATGAGCTGTTGTGCTCTGCACCCGAGCGAAATTTGCTAAGGAAGGTGTTTTCATGGGGCCCCGATCTGGTTGGAGGGCCACTGTTTGCCCAGCCCCCACCCCCTTCCTTCTAGCCTTCCCACCTCTCTCCCACCCACTGCACGGTGGACAGCTCTGACCATTGGAAAGTCTTGTCTTACCCCCATGCCCCGCACTGACTCCCTATAGCTTTGATCTATGTCATATTCTCACACAATGATGTAAAGTCTTTCCATAATATTAACAAATTTGATCAGCACTCTGGGCCAAACTGCTGCTTTTAAGAGGTCAAATTTTTCTTCCCTTGAATAGTTTTTCAAGTGGGAACATGGCTAGCTTGAAATAGAAAGACTGAACTTTTATGCATCCATTCCAAATATCAGTTGAGTGTTCTGAGTGTCCAGCCTAGGGACATACGGAGATGACCCAAAGGTGGAGTCTGCTTCTGGGATAAAGATGCCTCTCAGGTCATGTGCTCACACCATGGGGACCATAAGGAAAGTGGAGGCAGAGGACACAGAGAGCCAGCCCGCAGAGCTGATGGAAGTGTCTTCAGTGTTTGGGGCATGGGATTGCATCCGGGGGTCCAAAACACAGAGGGTGCAAGCCTGGGATGGCTTCACTTAGGAATTGGGGTTTGAGCTGTTTTGGGTGGACAGGAAGAATGAGTCAGTGGACACGCTATACTTGAGAAGCCAGGGAGGAGCTTCTTGGGGATGGAGGAAGTAGAGCTGCTAGCCGGGATGGGACAGAAACCATTTCCTTTCCTTGGAACTCTGGTGCCTCACTTTCACTATCTCAGGCAGCCTCCTGAGTGCTCCTCATCCTCACAGGCCCGAGGTGACCAGGCCACACCTGCTGCACTACACGGGCTGCTACCATGGGGGCCCTTCGGTGGCTGCTCCTCCTCTGGCTGCTCCAGCACGGTGAGTGGGCCTAGCTCCAGGTGGCAGTGTCTAGCCCTGTCCCCCCACCTTGCCTGCATTCTGCTGGTCTTGGACCACAACGCCCTCACTGTGGGGCTGTGAGCTTTAGCTCCTCTGGAGGAGACAAGACAAAGAGTGAAGCTTCAGTGGCCTCCCCTGGTGGCACAGGCCAGGCGGCTGAACGCAGCACTGTGAAGCTGTCCAAAGCCTCTACAGTGCGGGTTTGATCCTGGCCGGCCGGCAAGAATCCCACATGGCGCGGCAGACCTCTCCTGTCTCCAATCCTCTCACCCTCCTGCATATCTGGCCTGTACCCCAGTTCTTGTATGCATGAATAAATAAATATATATATATAAAAAAGTGAAGCTTCAGAGCAGAATCCAAAAATGCACAGACCTGGCATGTGGGAAGGGAGCAGCCCCAACAGCAAGAGCAGGGGGTGTTTGGATGGCAGGAGTGTGATGGATGCCCATCCCCTGGAGGTGCTCTAGTCAGACACACTGGAGCCAGAAGGCAGGAATGAGCGTGGGGGCCAGAGATGCTGCACCAGTTGGGATAGAGACTGGTCCCTGCCAGGCTCAGCAGCCCAGAGACACCAACTGAGCTGTTTCCATTTTTTCTTCCTTTAACTGCAGCCAAAGGGGACTCTGGAGATGATGTGGATCCCATTGATGTAGTTGGGGTTCTTCAGGAATCCATCCTCCTGCCCTTGGAAATACCATCCAATGAAGAGGTTGAGAGCATCATCTGGTCCTCCTCCACGGAGCTTGCCAAGATAGTGCCCCGGACCGAGGCACATCCAAGCACCTTCACTTTGTATGACCTGCGCTACCAGGACCGCGTGGATCACCTGGACCCCAGCTATTCCCTGCGTATCAGCAACCTGAGCATGGAGGACGCAGGGCCTTACCAAGCACAGGTCAACCTAAGGACATCCCAGCTCGTCATCCTACAGCGCTATGAACTCCACGTCTACTGTGAGTTTGGTCTGGGACCCAATCATGCCTCTTTTTTGGCTCTCCTAAGCTTCCCATGCAAAGGATTTGGGTCTTAGAACTCAGGTTATGGTTTGGGGACCTAGACAGGAAGGAGGGCAGGTCCACTGTCCCCCACTCTGGTCTGAGCTGCAGCCACAGAAATGACTCAGAGCAGCAGGACCTGGGAGAGGCTGTTTTGAGGAGGTACCCAGCCAGAGAGGGGGGTGGTGTGCATACCTCCAGGGGCCTTCCTCTCCCAGTGATATTCTGCATCCTGGGGGTGGATGCCACCTGCATTTCTCTGTGCAATTTGAAGGCACATGCCTCCTATCTGAACCCAAATTTCTTCTTTTTCTTAATAAGTATTTTTAATTCATTTTTTAAAAGATTTATTTATGCATACAAGAGCTGGGGTACAGCCAGAGGTGGGGGGGGTGAGAGGATTCACCACAGACAGAGTGGGGAACAGAACAGGCAGATTGACCGAAATACACTGCTGAGGGAAGCAGCGGGCGAGTCAGGGGAGGTCTGCTGCGCCATGTGGGTAGATTCCTTGCGGGGGATTGAACTCGTGCTGCAGAGGCTGCAGACAGCTTCATAGGCTGCGTCTTAACCCCTTGCGCCCCCAGGGAGGGCCCCCAAATTTCTTCTTAATATTTGTCTCATTGACTGATGCCCTACCTGGAATCTGCAGATTCCAGGATGAATGGATGAAACTAAATACCCTGGGAAGGGTGCTCATGTTGTTGTTGGATCAAGGAGACAGAATAGGTCTGGAAGGAAGTGGGGGCAAGGGTGAGAGAAAGAAGGTCTTTACAAAGGAGAACTTGAAGATGCCAAAGGCGCCCCTGTTCACATAGCAGCTGTCAGGAGCCAGAGGTTCTGTGGTGACTGGGTTTTATTGGTTTTATTTGTTTAGGTGAAGGGGCTCAGGAGGTGGCAATGATACCCCAGGTTGAGGAGCTAGGAGAGCAGACCCCACACATGATTACATAGAGGGCCTTTGTTCACTAGGGCGCCTGTCAGAGCCCCGGATCACTGTGAACATGGAGATCTTGGGGGACATCTCCTGCAATGTGTCCCTGACATGCTCTGTGGAGAAGGCAGGCCATGATGTGACCTACAGCTGGGTGTCCCTGGAGGACGGCACCAACACCACCCACGAAGGCTCTGTCCTCAACATGTTCTGGAGGCCTGGGGACAAAGCCGTTTCCTACACCTGCAAGGCCAACAACACTGTCAGCAGCATCAGCTCTCGTCCCATTTCTGGCAGACTCCTCTGTGCAGGTACAGCCCCTGAGCCGCCACTTCCCCCAGCGCTTCCCTGGAGAGCACAGGGAGTCCAAAACTTGCTCTTCTGCAGAGACTAGATCCCTGGATTGCCCCCCTTTTCCTTGTGCTCCCCACTTCCAAAGATCTGTTCTTCTCTTGCTCAGCTGCACTTGCTCCCTCAGTTCCTAAGCCTCTGTGAGTAGAATACGCATTTCCAGACACTTGCGAAGGAACTGCAGCTGACTATGAACTTGAGACTGCTGTGTGTATGGAATTCGGGGTAGGAGTCTGCCCGTGTGGACTTTGCCCCTCCCTATGGCAAGCTCCTCTCCTGCCTTCTTCTGTCCCAGATCCAGGCTGTCCTTCCCAGAAGGCTGGAGGGCCCTTCTGCATCCTGGCCAAAGGGCTGCTCCTCCTGGTGCTGTTGGCGATGCTGGCCGCGGGGCTCTGGCTCAGCCGGAGCTGGGTGAGACGTGAGATGCCGGAGGGGAAGAAACTCAGGAGAAATAGAATGAGGCTGAGAAAGAAGGACAAGCTGGGCCCTAGCCTGCCCTGATGCCCCTGGGGCCCCTTCCTGTCCTCTCATGGGGCGAATGATGTGTGGCCAAGGGACACAGAGTGAGGGAAGACTGTCAATAAAGTCGAGTGAAGAACCTGTGCCTCAGAGGAACTGCCTTAGGTCCTTCCCTGGGCAGCTCTGGCAAATCCCGAGCCTTGAGCCCCTCTCCTGCCTTCTTCTGTCCCAGATCCCGGCTCTTCTTCCCAGAAGACCGGAGAACCCTTCTTTACTGGGGTCTCTGTTCCCTCAGGAGCCCACACTACCCAGCCTACCCTCGGGGAAAGGCAGTCTAAAGGCTTGTTCACAACGAGGTGTTGGCATGTTGTTATTCCCCATCAACACACATTTCATTTACACTTTAACTAAGTGCCTCTGAGCCACTGACGTGAGCTCCTAAGGGAGGTTGCAGGTGCGGAGGCTCCTCTGCCATCATTCCTACTCCTCTGAAGGCGGGGTGATATAACCCCCCGGCCCCCATGCACCTGCTCTGTCAGGAGGCTGTCCTGCATAGGGAGACTCACCCTGAGTGCCCCGCACAGTCCCTCTGGGTCTGAGCAACCCTGTGACCTTTCCTCCCTGTGCCCGATGGCCAGGACCCCGGTGCCTCTCCAGGGGGTGACCTCTGTGATGCTAGCGTGTCCCATCTGTCTCTATGGCCTCCGTGTCTCAGACTTCTCTGCACTCTTATCCTGGATAAATGCTTTCCCCCTTCATCACCCCCTTACCCCGCCATTGCAAATGCCCTTGATCTGAAGTTCTTGTTCTTTCCCAAGCTCCATGATCAGCCAAATTCCTCCCCCAGACTTGGCATGCCCCTGCTAAAGCCACCCTCATTCTCCCTGTCAGGTATTACTGCAGGCGCTCTGGCGTGTTGTGTGTGCATGTGTGTGTTCCTGTGTGGGTCTGTGTGCATGCATGTGAGTGTGTATGTTTGTGGGTGTGCATGTGTGTGTGTGCTGGGGAGTCACCTAAAGGACTGGACAGTGAATGAACTGGGGGAGATGGGATAGGCAAGGTGGGGACAGCACTGGGCTGGGCCAGCTCTGCTCTGCTACTCGCCTCTGGCTTGGGACACTTTGTTCAGCAAGTGTCCGCTGAGCCACAGCACCTTCCCGCGGGGATACACACTTTGAGGGGGAGGCAGGCATGGGGACCGCTGGTTGGAGCTGTTTGAGAGGCCTGACCCAGGGGCCCCTTGGCACCACAGAGGCGGGGGTTTCAGAAGTGTGTGGGAGACTAGGAGGAAGATAACTCCTTCCCCTTTCTGAGTAGAGAAAGTGGATCTCCAAAAGGCCTTCCAAGAAAAAGAATATGAAAACTGTGCCAGGCAGAGGGAGGTCTTGGGGAATCTATGGTGATGGAGGACACTGCTTTTGGGTAAACATGATCCCCAGGGGAAGGGATCTTAGCAGCCCCCTTGACTGGAGGCCAAGAGTCAGGGCCTTTGCTCTGGAAAGGAGCAGGGCCAGGAGGTAAGTGTGGCTTCTGTGTAGGTTTTGTGCTGGAGATGGAGCCCTAAGAGATCTCCGAAGGCTGGTCTGGTAACATTTTCTCTACTCCTGAGGGCCTGAGCCCTAGTCTCACAGGAGGCAGTCCCAGTCCTGAGGCTGACTGTCCTGCCACCTGGCCCTGAGGCTGACTGTCCCATAGCCTCCTGGCCCCAGTCCCTCACTCCTCTGACTCCTTCAAAAGGGTCTGCAGTCCCTAATCTAAAGATGGACTGGAAATGACCAGCTGGGATCCATCTTGCACACAAGGCCAGTTGTTTATCATGCAGAGTCAGATACCCAGAAAGTAAACAAGAATGAATGCCTTCTAAGGCAGGCACAGGGGTCTCCCTGGAATTGGTCCAAGTCCCTTCTTCTCACAGCCAGTCTCTGGCTGGAGAAATACTGAGGCCCTCAAGTAGCCCAGGGCACCCAAAAGAAGGCTGAGCCCCCCAAGACAGTGGCTAATCACCACCTGATGTTTGTAGCCCCTTCTGTCTGAGATGGGGGTGGGTGGGTGGGTACTGTCTAAGCCCCTGAGCCAGCACTGAGGAGGCTGCAGACACTGTCTGCCCTTGGGTGCTCTTTGTGGCTGGTAAAGATATGATTAGAGGGGACAGGACAGGGCATGATGGAGGAGGCAGGGAGGGCCAGCTGGAGCCAAGAGGTAAACAGGAGCCCTGGCCTTGATTAGCAGTGAGTCCAGGCGAGGAAGATGCAGCCATTCAGAAGACAATCCCAGTACCTGGCTTGGAGGAAGAGCTCAGGGAACTCTGCAGCCCACTTGCAGGGTGATAAAACAGTGCTAAAGAGGAAGCTGGAAAGGATGGCAGGCCCCCTGACAGATAAGCACCGGGTTGGAGTCAGGGTTCAGCGATGCACAGAACAAGCTCCAGGCCCTCCATGGAGCTCAGCGCCTCAGTGGGATAGAAAACAGCCAGGTGACAATCTTCTAGAAACCATACTCTTTTCTGATCAGATGGGGCCGTGCTGCCCTGGATGTGCTCAGCAGTGTCCTTCACTGACAACCTTTCTGATCTCCTGGTAACAAGCTGAAAATGTGGGTGGTAGTATCTTAGTTGTTTGAATAAACTTTCCCAGAGGGTAATGATTATGGATCACGACAACCCAGAGGAAAATCTTTAGTTTGGAGCCTTAGGAACTATTTTTATCCAATTTCACTTTTGGCATGGATAGGAAACAACTTGTAGGCCTACGTTCCTTTTTTTTTTTTTTTTTACAAAAAGTGGAGCTACATCTGAGTCCAAATGACAATAATAAATGCCACAAAATAAGCTTCTAGAAAGAACGACCCTATCATAAACTTTTAAAAATTGAAAACTATTTTAAATCCCAAATTTATAAAAACTTATTCTACTGTGCAAATGAGATGAGTTTATCGTCAGGAAAGCCCTGGAGACAGCAGAAATGAAAGCCTAGGCAGGAGGTGGGAGGTAGAGCCCGTTTGAGCATGGGGGAGGGAGGTCTTTCCAGCATGTTGCTGAGGAGACAGGAGGTAAAGAATGCTTTGCACCTTGACATCTTTCCTGGGCACGCTGCCTGACCTGCTTCATGAAGTGCCAGGTCCACTGAGGTGCTTTCCCTCATCAACAATAAGTCAGTGTATTACTAGGGGAGGCGATACTGAAAGCTGCCTCTCTGGGAGAATTTGCAGAAGGGATGGTGGGTGAGACCATACCTGTCCTCACCCCCTCTACCCTGTTCATCTAAGGCTGGGTAAAATGCACCTGCTGCTTCCACTGGGAAGAACTTTCCACCAGTGTGGATCACTATAGATGGAGCAGGCAGGCATGGTGAGCTTCCCGTCAGGATGTGGTCCCTGGGGCTGTGGGAGCACTGGAGGGAGGCTGGGGCAGGGTACCTGTGAGCAGCAGGTAGACCCATTTTGTACCTGCTACCCTGGCTATCATCCCAGGATTCAGGGCCCGGTGCTCTAGTTTGAGTCAGGAATCAGACTGGGTGACACCAGTGTGCACCTGGACAGGAACACTGTCAGCTTTGAGCCTGGCAGGAAGGCTTGGGGAGGCAGCATCCCTAGGGCTGGGTGGGGCGAGGAAATGGAAAGCTCTGAGGGCAGGTCTACACAGTACCAAGGGAGTAAGTCTCACAGGGGAGTTGGATGAAGTCTGAGTTGGATCTGACTCCAGGTCAGGGATGGGAAGTCTCAGGCCAGGTCCTTGTGCTCCGGGACCCCCATTTTGCGGCGTGTACCTAATTCCCAGGGTTTCCGTGTGGGCTACATAAGGGTCAAAAAGCACTTGTCCAGGGTCTGGCGCCTCAGGGATCCCGCAAATGCTCATCTATTCATGTCTCCTCTGTGGATGTCCATGTCCCGCCGCCTCTCACTCCTCTCGGGGCCTGTTCTTCAAGGTGTTGCGCCGGGAGCTCACCGCGCGCAGCCTTCCCCCAGTGCACTGTGGGCGGTGCCTGCACAGGATGGGGCGCCCGCCACGCAGACAGGTATTTCCAGTCGGGCCAGAGAACCGGGGGGAGGGGATCCGGCCGAGATCGGAGCAGCCTGGGGCGGTGGATCCCCCGGGAGGAGGCGCTCCCGCCCCGGCTCGGGTTTCCACCGTCGGTCCCTAAGCGGGTTAGGGGCGGGATAGGTGGGGGGCAGGTCCACTGGGGACGACGCCCGGGAGCAGCCCAAGTGCCCCTGGGCCGGGGGTTCGGTCCCAACCTGGGCGGGAGGTGCGGCTCGGGGGACCAGAGCTCCACCCTGCGACCCGAGCGCACATGCACCGCCCCGCGCTCCGAAACTACAACTCCCAAGCGGCTCGGGGTCGCGCCCGCCCGCGGTCCCCCGGCCGCGGGAGGGGATTGGCCGTCTCCAGGCGACTGGGCGCGGGGCGCAGGGCGGGAGGCGGGCCCGCCCCCCATTGTGTGGCCTGAGCGCTGCTGGCGGAGGTGAGGGCGGGGGCGCATCGGGATGGAACGGGGTGAGGGGGCAGTGCGGAGTTCTGGGGGACAGCAAAAAGCGCGGCGTCGTGGGTGGGAGTGGAGTTCTTCGCGGGGTAGGACCTGGAGAGTGAAATGGAATTCTTGGTGGGCTGGGGGTTCCGGGAGAACTGAAGGGGTGCGGGAGGGCTGGCGGTGGGCTTGGGGAGGGATTCTTGGTAGGTTCCAAAAGCAAGGAGGAGTAGTAGGGGTCCGGAGAAAATAAGGGAGAAGGGCACTGGGGCGGGTGTCAGAGTGCATTGTGGAAGGGGTGGGTGTCAGAGTGCATTGTGTGCTGAGGCAGGAGACGAGGGGGAATGGCTGGGGGGAGAGGGCAGTGGAGGGGGGCATTGAGGAGAAGGCAGGGAGTTCCTTGAGGCATAAAAAACCTGGTGCAGCTGGAGATCAGGTGCGGAAAAATGGGAATGGGGGGCTGTGAGAAGTCGGGGTAACTGGAATAGGGATACCGAATTGTGGGGGAGGCACAACAAGGTGAGGACTTACTAGAAGCAAAGGAGTTGCATGATCTTAGGAAAGGCAGAGGAATTTGGGGATACCTGCTTGCTAAGGCTATGGGAAAGCCAAGCCAGGAGGGACCTTGGCTTCCTTCCTCTCCAGGCAGAAAGAGATTTGTCGGGGAGGTGCTGGGGAGCTGGCTCCGGGAGTGGGAAGCAGAGGGATGTTTGCTGGAGAGTTGTAGGGAGTTAGACACAGGGTGCTGTCAGGTAGAGGAGAGATTGGGCCAGGGAAAAAGGATGTTTTCTTACGGGTCACCACCCTTGAGGCCAGGAGTGGGGTGAAGGCTGCAGAGCAGAGCCTGCTGGGATTTACCCGGCCCAAGGCAGCTCTCCTGTGCCCTAACTCACTGCCACTGCCCTGGAGCTCTGGGACAGTCAGGAATGCCTACCCTCCGTGCTCTGGGACTGGCTTTGTACATGCTAGGGACTAGTCTCCGAACCTGCCCCTGGGGCTGGAGAAGGATGAACCTGGCAGACCCTACCCTCCCTTTACCCCAGCCCCATCCCAGTTGGAGGGAGCTAGGGGAGGAACTGGGGTTGCTGCTGCACTTGGGTTGTGGTGTCTGGGGAGGAGAGCTGTCTGGCAGCAGCATGAGAGGTGGAGCCAGCTGCAGGCTCAGGACCTGCCCAGACCTGGAAGAAGCTGCCTGGCCCCCTACCAGCAGGTAGGGGTGGCCTCCCCCATCCCCAGCCCCCAGTGCCTAGCTCACTCACTGCAGTAAGCTGTGTTGGGAGCTGAGGGGAAGAAGACCAGCTTTCAGGTTCAGAGCTTGGGGAACTGGGGCAAGGAATTGATGGGGAGTGGGGCTTGGGGGGTACTTCCTGGGGGTTCTAATCCAGGCTTGCCTTGGATGGACTCTGTGCTCCTGGGGAAGGCTCTCTGGATCCCCCAAGTCCTTGTCACAGAGGGGGAGGTGATGGCACTGGCCTTGTTAATAGCATTGGGACTGAGGAAAGAGGAGAGTGAGGAGGCCAGACTGTGGGCTCTTACTTTCTGAGAGTTCTTTTTCTGAGTGTATAAGAGCCCCTGTGTCCTCCTGCCTGGTTTCTGAGAACCTTAGTAACCCAGGTATCCCCAGAAGTCTTTGGCTTTTCCTGAGATCTTTCCCCTTCTGCTTCCACGGTGACCTCACCTCTCTGGCTCCCCTACCCCAACATGCCCTCATTCTCCTGTTCCTCCAGCCTCCTCTTCAGTCTCTGATCTGAGTGGCTTCACCCCTTGTTCCCCCTCTTTCTCTTCCTTTGCCCTCCTCTCTCTCTGAGTGTGGGTTTCGTCTGTTTTCCAACACTGGCCAACTGGACATGGCCTTGCATTTTGTGTTTAGACCCGGTCTAGGGGAGAGGCTCCATCTGTGGTCACCGGCCAAGCCTTAACTGTCCTGAAGAGAGAACTGAATCTGCTACTGGCCAGAAGGACTGACCGGGCCTGCTGGGCTGTTTGCATCGCGGGCCCCTCCGCCTGGGCCCTGCACGGGAGGGGCCGGCGGGCAGGCGGCTGGGCTATGGTTTGGTGCCTCAGTCTGGCCGTTCTCAGCCTGCTCATCGGCCAGGGGGCTGACGGTGAGGACACCTGGGCGCAGAAGCCCCCTTATCCTGGGGTAGGGTGGAAGGTGGGGGGACATTGCCCCGGTTCCCTGTGAGCAGATGAGGGTGGGGGGCAGGATTGCTCACTTCACAAATTCCCAGGGAGCCCTCAGAAAATATGCCCTCCTGCCACCCACCCCGCAGGTCGAGGGAAGCCTGAGGTGGTCTCCGTGGTGGGCCGGGCTGGGGAGAGTGCGGTGCTGGGCTGCGAACTGCCTCCTGCTGGCCGGCCCCCCCTTCACGTCATCGAGTGGCTGCGCTTTGGGTTTCTGCTCCCCATCTTCATCCAGTTCGGCCTCTACTCTCCCCGAATCGACCCTGATTACGTGGGTAAGACTTATCCTCAGTGGGAGGAAGGGAGGCATCTCCACAAAGTCAGCTGGAGTTGGGGAGGGGGGTTGAGGCCTCTTCTTGACCACTGGTGTGCCTGCAAGCGGGGCTTTGCTCCCAGCACTGTTAATTACAGAAGGATTCCTGCATTTACACGCACACACGTGCACAGGCACACACGTACACTTGCACACAGCATGTTATAGCTGTGTGTTTAGAGCGCCACATGTTCTGTTCCAAAGGAAACCCCTCAACCTTGTTCCAAGTGCCCATCCCCATTCTCTAATTGCTCCTCCTAGATCTCATTGTGAAGCGCCCCCCCCAACACACCGTCTTGATCACCCCTTGCCTCTCCCTTAGCCCTCTTCTAGTCACTGGCTCTATCTGCTCACCCTCCCACCCCCACTATCTTCAATGCTAGTTTGGGGGTTTTCAGGGAGTGAGCTGATGGGCTGCAGTGTGGTTGGATCTGTGTGCTTCTCCTGTGGGGGTGCAGCCTGATTCTGAGCACAGGGGAACCTGTGCACGCAGCGGGGCTGGGGAGACTAGATGCCTTAGAAATCAGTAGATAATGGGTTGGGCTGTGTTGCTGCCCCAGGTGGCTCCTGTGCAGACTTAAAATAGTGCATGGGCCTCTCTGGGGCCGCTCCTGCACCCCAGCTGCTCCCTGGAAAGGCTCAGCTTCCACCTAATTCAGATGGAGCCATGATCCTAGTGGTTTAATGCAGGGTGCCGAGGACCACGTGGGAGGACCCAAAGATGATCCCGGCTGCCTGCTCTTCCAAGGAGAAACCCCTGGGAAAGGCCATCTGGGAGGCCTTGAAGGGGGGAGGGGCCCCACCTTTTAGTTTGAATCTGGGAGAAGCCTGAGGATTGGCTGAGCCCTCTCTCGGGGCAAGCTGAGCAGACGGTGGAGGAGGCTGGGGCAGAGGCTGGGGCAGGTGCCGCAGAAGGGAAGGTTTATTTTCAAACTGGGGGCAGTTGCTGGCAGACAGCCTGGTGGGAGCATTTGTGTCTACACAAGCCCATGAGAACAGATGAAAGGGGCCCCATCTAGGACCAGTGCAGAGAAGCTGCTGCTGTGCCTGCCAGCCCCCTCCCTGCCTCTGCCTGCTGGGCCTGGGAGGGGCTGGGCTGGGCTGAGCTGGCAGACTAGCTGTGGTTGACTGGGGAGGCAGGGGGAGGAGCAGGGAGAAGGGGTTCCAGAGACTTCAGGAAGATTTGAGCTTCCCCTTCCCTCCTGTTTGGGTCCAGCAGGCAGAGAAAGCCAGAGGAACTCTAGTTCTTTTCCCCCTGTGGGGCTTCTCTGTATGCTGTTCCTTTGAGCTGCCAGGGCTGTGAGTAGTAAGCTCCAGGTCTTGTTCTCCCTTCCCCCAGTCCCCAGCTGCTGGTCAGGTCAGAGATGGGTGGTAGGCTCAGGGCCTGGAGGGGGCGCTGCGGCCAGTAACTACCTTGATTCTGCTGGAGTGCAGAAGGGGTGACTTTTTTTTTTAAAGATTTATTTATTTATTTATTTATTTATTTATTTATTTATTTATTTATACAAGCACTGGGTACAGTCAGAAGTGTGGGAGGGTGAGAGAATTCACCAGAGCCAGAGTGGGGAGCAGAGCAGGCAGAAGGACCGAAGTACACTGCTGAGGGGAGCAGCGGGCAGCAGGAGATGTCTGCGGGCCTTGTGGGACCCTCCTCCAGTGGCCGGGAGCAGCCAGGGATCGAACCGGCACCGCAGAGGCTTAGGGCAGCCTCGCAACCCAGCACTCAACCACTGCGCCACGGGGAGGCCCAGAAGGAGTGACCTTTTTGCGGGGATTCCACCGCAGTTGCTAAGCAAGGGAGGTGGTTGCTAAGACAATGCTGTCTTGTCATAGGCCCTGCAAGTGCAAGGAGTAGAGGGGGCTCTGGGAGCCTGGAAGGTGGGAAGGATGGAGCACGAGAGAGCTTAGAGTTTCGGGAACCTCACTCAAGGGAAAGTGTCCAGTCTTTGAAGTCTTTGCAGAGTCTGGAAGCATCTAGCAGAGAACACTGGCTCTATAGACTGGTACCGAAGTGGTGACCAGCAGTGTGAGACCAGGTAGGACCAGTCGGCTACTGTCCACCAGGCCCCAGCACAGCATTGGGAGGCTGGCCAGATGTCTGGAGGAGGCGGTTCACCTTATCCTGCTCTACTTCCCTTGGATGGATTGCAGACCGATTCTTCCAGACCTTCCAGGCCTTGGGACAGCTGTTGGTCTATGGCTTTCATGCTGTGTCTCATTCTTGGGAGCTTCAAGATACCCCACACAAAAGAAGGGACATGAGCTTTCTCTTGTCGTGAGCTGTTTGACAAAAATGAGTTCTTTCAGTCTCCATTTTAGAACACTGCTGCTCCCTCCAGTCATCTCTTCTATGCCTTTTATCCTTTAAGCCCTTGTGTAGTCATGCTTCTGTCCTTCTGTCCTCTCTTGCTCAGTCTCCTGGAACGACTGGGCACAGGGAGCACCACTGAGTGTGAGTCCTGCTGTCAGAGGGCTTGAGAGGACAGATGCTGTCTCCTGCTTCCTTGCCCTGCGTGTGGGAGATCTAGCGCCCTTTGGGCTCTGACCCTGCAGTGGAGGGTGACCCCAGGAGGCTCAGCGCCACCTGCCCAGAGCCATCTTCCCGTTGTGTGACATAAGTCCCACCGTCCAGATGTTTGAGGAAAGTTGGGGACAGAGTGTATTTACTGGATGTCTAGCCAGCAACCATTTGGAACTGTTGCCCATGAGCTACCCGCACCTCCCATGAGAGACACCAAAAGTGCCCAGTGCTGAGTGCCCAAGTCCTTCCTCTATGTGGAATCTTGAGAGGATAGAATACAGCAAAATGCCTAGTGTCTCATGGCCCATATTTGGGGTCAGTCTCCCTTCCCTTGCCTGCCTTCCCTGCAAACTTGAAGATCTGCAGTGAGGAACTGCTATGGGGGGGACAAAGAAGTTGGGGCCTAAGTCTGCAGGGCCCCAGGCCAGCAGATCAGTGTAATTAGTTGGTGGCGGGTGTGATAACATTAAATATTTACCTGTAAGACCCATGCTTATCTCTTAGGTGGGGATTTAATATCTCTTAGGTGGGGATTTAAGCACCATGCTCATTAGCTGGTCCACCCATCTGAGAGAACCCAACCCCTGGATTGCATTTTTTTTTTTTAAACTCAAAAAAGTTTTCATTTTCAATTTAGCTTTCTGACTGTATGCTTGTGCCTGCAATGCTTTCACAGCTTTCTGCTCCTCAATAAGAAAAGCAGACTTGATGCTGACATATCTGGCACATGTGGAGCCCCTGTAGACTGTGCTGACATGTTTTCTTAGAAGATAAAGCCTGTGGTCAGTCCTCCAGAGGCCTCCCCCTGGCTGTTCTCTTCCCCACTCCCATCAGGGAAACCGCAGGCTGAAGCACACTTTGGAACAATGGCCCTAGGTAGAGGGGAAGCAGACCGGACAGCGTGGGAGGTGCAGGTGTTACAGGGCAGCCCCATATAAAACGGGTTGCCTGACTGGGTCCTCACCCACACGCTTCAAAGGGACTTAATACTCCGCTGCAGGCACACACAAAAGGTTAATAAAAGATTTATTTACAAGGGAAGGGGGAAATGAGGAATTGTACAACTCAGGGACAGCTCAGAACTTCTGGCATTAGGAAGGGCAGCTTCCAGGTTGGGATGGGCACTGCTCTGGGGGGCTTGTCATCTGTCCCTGCTGGAGGCCAAGGAGGAAGGGCAGCCCATAAATGAGTAGGGCAGAGAGAGTGCCTCCTCTCACCTATAGCCCAGGTAAGCGATGCTGCGGGAACAAGCCAGGGGGCCATCACAGGGAAAGAACAGATATTTGGGGGGTAGGATTTAAAAGATTTACTAAATGGGTGGGTGTAGGGTGCTGGGGAGAGGAATCATTACAAGTGGGTAGTTTGGTGCCTGGTGGGGCTATTCACTGGCATGCAGTGGGGTGTGGGGAGTATTATCAGGGGAAGGGTGGGGTTAGGCAGGACCTGTGAGGCTTTGATTTCAAATCTCAAACTCACTTGCTCAACACTTATTTGGTGCCCAGCACCATGCCACCTTCCTTCCCCCTGGTATGCCCCCTCCACCTACCCAGACTTTCTTTACTCCTTTCAGAAGAGGAAACAGGTGGGGAGGGGTTAAGCCACTTGCTCAAGGGGTACACAGCAGAGCTGCACTCCCAGCCTCTCTGGCTGCCGAGTGCATGTCTTTTCTACTATGCTGCCCCGCAGGGACCCATGAAGCTTTTTGTGTGCTAGCGCCACACAGGGGAGGGTGTTGAGGGGCGTGGAGGTGCCCTCAGACTAAGCAGGGTGGTGTGATGTGGACTGAGGGTGGTTCTTGGTGTGTGTCCGTGTGCCCTGTGGCCTTGTGGACTCTGGGCAATCAGCCCTCTTGATGCCTGGGGCATGAGGGTCAGGGCGAGGAGGCTGCTGACCTTGCTGTACTGACTGGCTGGACTCTTGCCACCCTAAGACGCTTAGGCCTTTGATAATAGCTTTGCAGTATTAGGGGCATTGGTAGGCGGCCTGAGTCCCTGCTTAGGCCCCAACCTGCTGAGGTTTGCAGGAACAGAGTCCCCTGGCAGGAGGCGCTTTCTGGATGCTGGGGAGAACTGTGAGGCCGAGTCCATGGAGCAAGTCTCTCGCATGTCTGCCCACAGTACTGGAGCTGGGATGGCCGAGCTCTGTGTGCTAAATGTACCCATGACGGGCTCAAGTCTGGCCACCCAGTGCCCATCTGGTTTTCTCTCTGCTACACTGGGGCGCAGCTGCTGAATGGCAGGAGGGATCTCAGGGGCTGATTCAGGGATTAGCTCTAGTGACCCCCCCTTCTGTGCCTCTCTGCAGCTCTCCCTCAGGGGACCTAGAAGGACAGTCTGTTCTTGGCCTCTGAGAGTGACGGTGTGCATAGGGTGTTGAGCTCCCAAGGGGTCTCTCCAGCACCACTGATTCAAGGCTCCTCCCCAGGGCGAGTCCGGCTGCAGAAGGGGCCTCCCTCCAGATTGAGGGGCTCCGGGCAGAAGACCAGGGCTGGTATGAGTGCCGGGTGCTCTTCCTGGACCAGCAGCACCCTGAGGACGAGAACATCAACGGCTCTTGGGTGCACCTCACAGTCAACTGTATGAAGCTGAGCCCCCGGGGTGGGTGGGGGAAGAATGAGGGGCCCCTGGCTTGGTGGGAGGAGACTAGCTCCCATGACCCTCCCTTGCTGATAGCACCTCACCTACCCCTTTCGCTCCCCTACCTCGCCTGTAAGTTCTTCATATTGAATCCTGTCAGTAGCCAAACTCTGTATTGGGACTTCCCCTTCCTCTCTCCTCTCTCTCCCGTGCCCCTGGAGGGTGGTGGGAGGGGGAAGGATGGGACTTGTGCCCTAGAACAGCTCACATACGTAGCATTTCAGTTTTTTCAATGCCATTTAATCCTTTGCCTCCTGATTCTCTGTCAGCTTTTGGAAGCCAGAAGGTCACAGTTTTTCCTGTTTCACAGACGAAGTGTCTGGGTCACAGATTAGGGACAGAGCTGAGTATAGAAGAGGGCTCCCAGCCTTCCAAACGATGTTCTTCCAAGGGCACCCTGCTTTCCCACTTGGTGCCACCCTGTAGGCCACATAGGGGCGGGGTGTCTGACATGGCCTCCATTTGCTTGGGTGCACAGTCCTGAGCTGGCTTGGACCCTGGGGTCCCGCTCTTTGCCTGAGAGCTCCTTTGTTGGCCTCATTGCCTCTCCCCCACAGCGCCCCCGAGGTTCCTGGAGACACCCCCCCAGGTGCTGGAGGTGCGGGAGCTAGAGCCACTGACGCTGCGCTGTGTAGCCCGTGGCAGCCCGCAGCCTCAGGTGACTTGGAAGCTCCGAGGACAGGACCTGGGCCAGGTCCAAGGTCAGGTGCAGGTGAGACCTGGGATTGGGAGTGGGGGGCTTAGGAGCTGCTGTGTAGGGCACCCCTGAAGTGGGCTGATGCTGCCCTCTGTCAGCCATCATTGGGAGTGCAGGATCTGATCCATCAGAGGCAAAAGGAGTGGGGGCCTCCCTCACCACCACCCCCTTCCTTTACCCGCTCCTGCCCTCCCTCACCGAACCCTACTCACCAGTCCCTGCCTTCTCTCATCTACCCCTACCTGCCCCGTCCTTCCTCACTTTTCCCCCTCACCTGCCCCATCACCTGCCTTCCCTCCCTCATCCACCCTCTCCTCACTCACCCCTGCCCTCCTAACCCATTCTTCCCCTCCTCACCCCCTCCCTCTCGCTCCTCCTCCCTCTCCCCTCTCCTAGGTGCAGAACGGGACGCTGTGGATCCGACAGGTGGAGCGAGGCAGCTCCGGTGTCTACACCTGCCAGGCCTCCAGCACTGAGGGCAGCGCCACCCATGCCACCCAGCTGCTGGTGCTAGGTGCTGTCTGGGGTGGCAGGAAGGCGATTCTGTTAGAAGGCTGAGATGTGGGGTGTACCTTGAGGTGGGGAGGAGATGGGCATGGAGAGAGAGAGAGATGCGCTACCAACATGCGCTGCGGCCTAACACCAGCATCTTCACTTTGGAGAATCTGCAGGACAAATAGGCAGATAGTGCCCTGCAGTGTCACCCTTGGAAAGGGCTGGGTGCTGGTGTTCAACCCTGTATGTGGAATCCCTTTGAGCCTCAGTCACTTCATCTATATGACAAGGCCCATGCTGACCTCCCAGGACTGTTCAAGAACTAAATCAGGTTGCACCAAGCACTGTGATGGGTCATAGAAGGTCCTGGCAAGACCTTCCCTTTGGGAGAAAAGCTGGGAGTGGAAGGCCCAGATCTACCTTCATGGGGCCTCTCATCCCCATGGGAAGGAGGACTGGGCAGTGTTGCTCACCTGGTGCTGTGGGGAAGGCAGGTTGGGTGCAGTCCCTGGTGCCAGGGGCAGCCTGAATGTGAGTCTTGCCTCCATGCCAACCTTGTGTGAGTTGCCTCACTGTCATCTTCACTTCTTCATCTCTCGAGTGCCCACCACAGCAGGCACTGTGGGGATGCTGGGAGGTGCAGTCAGGTGCTGAGCAGAAAGCAGTGTGCCCCAGAGCCTGCTGCATCTGGGGTTCAGATAGTAGGGGCAGGTGGACATGAATGAGCCTAATCTGGGTGCACCAAGCTGCCCAGTGACCTGAGACCTCGGAGGTCTGGCAAGGGAAAGATGGCTGACCAGGCATGGAGGGCTGGGTCACCGTCCATAGACTGAGCTTCTCATGGCAGGAGAGGGAGCTGTTGCGGGTTCTTGGGCCATAGGGGCATTTCTGTATGGATGGGGAGCCTGGAGTCAGGAATTGCCGCTGAGTCTTGGTAAGGTTTGGGCACCTGGATTAGGGTAGAGGCAATTTAAGATGTGACAGATGAAGGATACAAAGGGTAAATCAGCAAAGTCAAAACATTCATTTGTCCCAACAATTTCTCAGGAGGATAAACTGAGTGAATGGGTTGTCACTGGTGGATTAGGGAGAACTGGGGAAGAAGAGCTTGTTTAGGGGAGAAGAGGAAATTTTATTATGTACAAGGGGTTCAGCAAGGCTTTGTAGCAACCAGCCCAGCATTCCAGAGGGCAGATGGGAAGACTAGGGCTGAGCCTCCTTCCTTTTGTGCTCCCCCACAGGGCCCCCGGTCATCGTGGTGCCCCCCAGGAACAGCACGGTCAATGCCTCCCAGGATGCTTCCTTGGCCTGCCGGGCTGAGGCCTACCCCGCCAATCTTACCTACACCTGGTTCCAAGACAGCATCAATGTCTTCCACATTAGGTGGGGCCCGGGGGAGTAGAGGTGGGGTCTGGGTGCTGTCTTTGAAGGGCCTCTTGACTGAGCAGAGCCTGAGCCCTTCCACATGTCCCATTGCAGCCGCCTGCAGGCCGAGTGCGGATCCTAGTGGATGGCAGCCTGCGGCTACAGGCAGCACAGCCCGATGATGCTGGCCGCTACACCTGTGTGCCCAGCAATGGCCTCCTGCACCCACCCTCGGCGTCCGCCTACCTCACTGTGCTCTGTAAGCCCAACCCTATGCCCTCCTAGCATGCTCTAGTCCCCAGGGCCAGCCCCTGCTTCTCGCCCACCGTCTGCCTCTGCTTCCCCCAGACCCAGCCCAGGTAACAGCAATGCCTCCCGAGACACCCCTGCCCATAGGCATGCGGGGAGTGATCCAGTGCCCAGCTCGTGCCAACCCCCCGCTACTCTTTGTCAGCTGGACTAAGGATGGGCAGGCCCTGCGACTAGACAAGGTACAGATTTGGGAGCAGGCGGAGGAAGGGCTTCACTTGGTGTCATTCTAGTCAGTTTAATTCAACTGGGTGACTGGGGAGCCTACTACACCTCTTACCCGTGCTGTGTGGGGTTGCTCAGGGAGCAGGGGCAGCCTAGGGGATAAGACGGCCAGGGATGCAGCAAGCACTTAGGGAAGGGGGGCAGGCGCAGGCAGGAACCAGGGCCCAGAGGCGGGGAAGACTGCATGGCATTTGTGATCCACGCCCAGCTTGCTGGGAGCCCCAGGCCCCTGGGACGTGATTGGTGTCAGAAAGCTGGAAAGACAGGTCGGGGCTCACAG